TAAATTGTGCCTCGGGACTGTTTGAGGCCTATACTCATCTATGATTTTAAGGAATCCTTTATATTCCAGGACTACAGCCTTTAGAATTTTATTATGTCTATTTTTCTCATATTTGCCCTCCTTGCTAGGCTGAGCTTATTCTTCTCTTGTCTTTTTAAGAGAAGGCCTGTTACATGTTTACTGAGAGAATGAGTTAAGGGTAACCCAGTGAAACCTTTCATTACTTATCAGCTGCAATATAATAAGGAAAGGAGAAAGCAAGAACAATCTTGGGAAATGGGAAGAAAGTGAGATGCTGGGGATAATAAGCTGCCATCTGCCTTGACAAAAAGAAACCTCTCACCCTGTTTGTTTTGTGCCTCAGAAGAGATTGTTTTTGGCTCATGTTGTTTGTGACAAGTTAAGGCCTGTTCTCTGTTTCTCTATTTTGTTTTTAAAGCACGTTTGCAGACATCATCGTGGAATGAATAATATATCACGATGAGTTTTTCCAAGGTTTTGAATTAGTGTCCGTTTTACTTTCCATGGAAGCACTGAAAATGAGTGATTCCTACAAAGGATACTTTTTTCATTTTGAACAATAGCCTTTATCTCTCTAATCTAAACATCTTGGTTGTAAGTTCACAGTTATTACTAGCATCAGATAATATATTTTGAAATAAATGTATTTAATACTTATTTTTTGTCAGGTGATTTACTATATCTATTAAAGCTAAAAATGAATAAGTAACATGTTAATAAGATTTAAAAGCAGCACATTGTTATCAAAGAACGCTGAATTGCAAGGGTGTGATCATATTCCTGAAGCCTGGAACTCATGATGGCAGGGAGCTAGTGTACCATATTGTCATGGCAACAGGATGTCTTCCTAGGTTTAAATTTGTTTGTGTTGCAGATCCATAACTTTAAAAGCTTATCCAGAGCTTTTAAAGAACAAATTGTATTGCTTCTGTGGTTCATGCCATATGCTAAAAATTCATGGCTATTTCATGAATGGTAATATGCGTGTTCTTTACTTTTTTTTTTTTTTTTTGGTTTCCAAAGTACACAGTTATCAAACTAAGATTGTTATGCCTGAATGTTTTGTTTTGTCACTGTGTCGCTTTGATATATACAACTGTGAAGGGAAAAAGTTTCTTCCCTACATTTGTTATAGTGAGACTCTGGAATTTTGTTTTGGATGTAAATACAGATATTATTTTATGGAGGCAATAATGAAAAACAGGAATTTTAACCTGCTGAATATTCAGAACGTAATAACCTTAATGTGTTGTTCCAAAAAGCCAAAACCTTGCAGCACTCTGAATTCTTTCTGCATGGCAAAGACACTTCTCTTGCCAAGAAATTCCCTGTAAACAGTGAAGAAAAACAATGATCAATGGTCCTGTGCATTGCCTAGCAGAACGTCCTTGACATCCCTCGCATTGCAGCACAGTGCTGACAGCTGGGTTCTCATTTGGAAGCAGGGAACAGAGAGCCAGGGAAGTAGGAACCACAAAGGGTGAGGAAAAAAAGAGGATGGATAAGAGGGAGCAGAGGAGATGAGAGAAGGGAGAGAGGAGGAAGGAGGAAAGAGATGAGTATTTGTTGTTGTCTTTGAATTGTTAACTCCTTAGAGTTAAAGATGGAAATCTTACACATCAATATGCACTATATTATTCCCTCCAGTGAAGCAAATTGTTTTTGAAAGTTAGTTTTGTCTTTAAAGAGGCATACAGATGAAGGTTACGGAATGAATACAAAATAAAGAAGGTACTCTGTGATTATATTAATCCTGAATTAAAAGGAAAGACAACTGTAGATTTTAAAAAAAAAAAAAAACTATATAAATAACTACACTGGAACAAAGCTTTACCATGTGCCTTTTTTATTGCTGATTACTTGTCTCAGTGTATACATACATGGGTGATGAAAAAAAATAAGGTTCAAGATATTCAGTAAGGTTTTGAAGCGGCCTGAGGTGTTTTTGTCTTGTTACTATTTTTATGTGATCTTTTTCTACTTCCTCGTAGGTGTAATGTAGATTACAAGAGTTAAAATCTTATGCCCATTTATCTACTCTCAGTTTGCCAAGAAACATAACTTTTATAAAGTCTGTTTCATAATTTATAATTAGATTTTTAAAAACTCAATTTGTGAGTCTAATTGTAATTAGTATTTGTAACTCCTAAAGTCGTTAGTCATATGCTTTAAGAAAGCAAATGAGACGTATTGTGTTAGATAAGAATAGAGAAGCAACTCTTTGGTCACCAAAAATTAGTTCTTCACTTCTATTGTTGGGAAATTGACTAAGCTTCTAATATTCCTATTGGTGATATAGTATGCCCATTGCAGAAAGATAGACAATAACATTTCAATAGCACATCAAGCCAGCTCTTCAAGGATGTGATTTCCTCAAGATCCTGGACTACACATTTTTCTTCTAGGTTGCTCAAACTTGGGACTATTTATTATAAACACTCAGTAGATCCCTGATAACCTGAAAGAGAGGGTACTGTTTCTCTAAATATCCACCTTCTTGTAAGGAAATAGCTTTTGGTGATAGAATTTTTTTCATATATTTCAGTTGATATTGTCATTGTATTAAGTATGTATCCTTAAACCATTGTTTTCAAAGAGCCAGTATTTTATTTGAGACAGGGCGCAGTAAAGGTCCAGTCTTTTAAAAATACAGCTGCATTCCTTTCTATTCCTCCCCTTTCTTCCCCATGCTTGCACTAAGGGAAGACCAAACTCAGACTCATTTGAGGGACATACAATCATCACCAGAAAAAGAGAGTTTCACTTCTTCCAAGACTGTTTGTAAGGAATATGCAAGCATGTTATCATTGGTTGAATTGTTGCTTCCTAAAACATATGTCCATGTCAAATCTCTAGAACCTATTAATGTTATCTTATTTGGAAAAAGGGTCTCTGCAGATGTGAGTGTTATGAGTTATGAGATCACCCTGGATTATCTAGGTGAGCTCTAAATCCAATTACAAGTATCTATATAAGAGAGAGAAAGAGGGAGCTTTGAGACAAACAAAAAATAGAAGGTCATATGATCATATATGCAGACACTGGGGTGAAGCAACCACAAGTCCAGGAATGCCCACTGCCACCAGAAGTTGGAAAAGGCAAGGAAGAGAATCTCATCTAGAGCCTCTGGAGGGAGCACAGTGCTGTCCATACATTGATTTCAGACTTCTGGCCTCCACCACTGAGATAGCAAATTTCTGTTGTTTGAAGTGGGCCTTAGGGTACAACCAAGTTTGATAATTTGTTAAAGCAGTCACAGTACCTTACTGAAATGAATGTGTGGTTGCTGCTTTACCAGCATAACTCCCCCAGAGAAGCAATTGGTTGGACATTGAGGGAAGCCATCAGGGGGGCTTTGAGTTATTTCTGTTTGCTTTTGAAGACCCTCGTCTTTGGCTCATATGCATTATCCTGCTCCAAATACACAAATTTCAGCATCAGTGACATCCACTTTGCATTTACTTTCTCCCTCCCTACCTTTGATCTCACTATCAATCCCAGGGTTTTATGTCAATAAAATGTAGGTTTTTTCCAATGAAATGTTATTTGTGTTTCCTAAAATCTGAGTCTTTAAAATCAAACTGCTTGCAACTTTTGTCCTTTTCTCAAAAAATAATTAGATTTTACTAATCATAAGAGAATGCTAGTCAAATAGAATATATAGGAAAGAGGTGGCTAGCCAGTGTAATAGCTTCTGTTGCTTCTGTTTTTAGTGATCTGTGTAATTTTCCCCTGGTAATTGTCAATGCCTTTGATGGCTAGCCCCTGCCATCCTCCTAAAAATCGTAGCAGTCTGATTGAATAGTAACTGGTGGGTTTGTTTTCTTTCTAGAATATTTAGATTAAAGGCAAGAGAAATTCTGGACATGGGAAAGAGGAGAGAGATTGTGGTTTGTCTTAATAGCAACAAATACAATTTCTCAAGCATATGAAATAAATAGATTGCTTACTCATGTTTGCTTTCACATCAGGGGATATAGATCTATCTAATTGCAATGCTTTAAGAAGATATATAAGGATATAAATTCTCATGGCTTCTTTCTTGGTCTCCTTATATGTAGAAATGTAGTGGCAGAAGTTAGACTTTAATATGTGGTAGCTGATAATATGGAGTTGTTCTAACGATAGTTTTGACTGTGTGTATAGAGCATGGAGCCTATTGGCTGAGAATGGACAAAAATTGAGGAAAGAATAAAAATAGTTAAAATATCAAATATTAAAAAGATATTTCAATACTATTTTTTGAAGCAGTTGGTAAAAATCCCACTTACCTATGATGCAATTCTTCTGGAACTGCTCTCTTACATAATAGTTGGAAATTGTATTAATAGTCTCAAGCTTTTCTAAGTTTAAATACCAATCTTTGTAATAACTAAGCTTATGATCTTTGGGATCAGACAGGATTAAAAATTCTGGCTCTGGAATGTATTTGTGCCTCACTTTCTACATCATCACTAGAATGGTAATAGATACCTATCTCAAACAGTTGTGAAAAACAGAAGGAGGTCATGCATAGCAGAGTATCATTGTCTTAACAGTGCTCAATAAATGTGTTTTATTGCTGTTTCTCTACATCAAAGCCCTAGAAATCCTGAACTATACTTTTTAGCACAAATCAAGGGAAGATAAAATGGAACATGTAAATTGGTATCAGTTAAGCATAATCTGCCCTGCTCTCAAGGTCTTGTTAACAATTGAGAAAAGCTACACACAATGAAAAAGGAATTGATTGATACACAAAGGAAAATAGGAATTTTTTTTTCATGGAGTCACACCTAATTTGAATGCTAATACATAAAATTAGAGAATGAGTTAAAGTCAACTCAAGAAACTAATAGCATGAAAAAGTGTTGAATCAACAGAGGCCCTGAATTTATAAAAATTGTTCCCCACTCCAATATAAAACATTAAATATAGTAAAGCATGACCACCTTTTTCCACATTTTTTTGTTTTTATTTTTATAAAATATTAAAAACAGATCAAAGGAGGAAGAAAGAGAAAAATGTCAGTCAACAGAATTTCAGGACTCAATGGGGGAATGAAGATAGTATTTATAGATTAAGTCCTCATAAACTATTAGAAGGTAAGTACCAATACTCTCACTTAATGAATGAATAAATTGAGGCTCAATGAGGTTGAATAAACTGTCGAAGATCCTTACATTTTAAGTGGTTAAAAAAAAAATGCTTGTTTACTTAACCAAAGTCTAAGATTGAAGTGATAACAATCGATGAATGGAAACGCTGGGAAATAGTTTTACCTGGTAGAACAAACATTTCTTTTTCATGCCCTAAATTTAGTTACCTTAGTGTGTTTATAAATCTTTTAGATGGCGTTATGGGAGAGAAAAACAGAGTATATGCTTATACGGGGAGAGAAAAAAAAATGAGAAAGAATGATTTTCCCACCCTTGGATTAAAGTTCCTAGGAAACAACTCAAAGTGGATGGAACTTTCCTTCACCACGGCTAATCTCAGATGTTAGTTCAGATATCCTGTTACTTTGTATAATTCAGGAATATCGGCAATTAGGCTACCAGGTTGACTTTTCACACAAAATGAGAAATCAAAAGAGGCTTTAAAAAATCTGTGCTCTTAGCAAAAATTATCATATTTGAGAAGCAATAAAATAGTTTGCCATTAAAAAGATATATATCATCATATACAAAAATCTCTTAAAAATGGATTAAAAGCTTAAATCTATGGGCCAAAAGTGTAAAACTACTGGAAGGAAAGCATTGAGGAAATACTCCAGGACACTGGTCTGGGCAAGGATTTCTTAAGATCTCAAAAGCACAGACAATCAAAGCAAAAATGGACACACCGGATCACACAGCGCTCACAGCTTCTGTGCAGCAAAGGAAACAGCAGCAAACGGAGTGAAAAGAAAAGTCAAAAAGAAAGAGAAAATACTCGCAAACCAGCCGCCAGACAAGCAGTTAATAACTGAAATCATACAGCTCAACAGAAAACAACTAAACAAAACAAAATAATCCCATTTAAAAAATGGGTCAAAGATCTGAATAGCCTTTTCTCAAAAGACATAGAAATGGTTAACAGGTATATGGAAAAAAATGCTCAACATCAGTAATCATCAGAAAAGTGTAAATTAAAGTACAATGAGATACCATCTCATCCCAGTTACAATGGCTTTCATCCAGAAAACAGGCAATAGCAAATGCTGGCAAGTTTATGGAGAAAAGCAAACCTCTGTACACTGTTGGTGGGAATGTAAATTAGTACAGACACAATGGAGGACGCTATGGAGGTTCTTCAAAAAGCTGAAAATGGAACTACATAGGATCTAGCAATCCCACTTCTGGGTATATACCCAAAAGAAAGGAAATCAGTATATTGATACATCTGCACTCCCATTTTTATTGTTTTTTGCAGCACTATTCGTAATAGCCAAAATATGTAATCAACCTAAGCGCTCCCCAATGGATGAATGGATAAAGAAAATGTGGTACGTATACACAATGGAATAGTATTCAGCCATAAAAAAGAACATAATCCTGTCATTTACAAAGAGATAGATAAAAATGGAGAATATATAATGTTAAGTAAAATAAGCCATGCTCATTAAGATAAATATTACCTGTTCTCACTAATATGTGGGACCCCCCAAAAAATTGAACTAATGCAGATAGAGAGTAGAATGATGGTTATCCAAGTCTGGGAAGGGTAGTAGGGGTGGAGAAATAAAGAGGAAGGGTTAAATGGGTACAAAAATACAATTATATAGCATAAGATCTAGTGTTAGGAAGCACAGTGGAGGGAATATAGCTAACAAAAAATTGATTGCCTATTTCAAAATAAGTAAGAGTGAAATTAGATGTTCTTAGCACAAAGAAATCTAAATGCTTAAAGCGAGAGATATCTCAATTATTCTAATTTTATTAGTGCACATTGTATGTTTGTATCAAAATACCACATGCACCTCACAAATATGTGCAATTATTATATATCCCTAATAGTTAAAAGTAAGTTGTTTTCAAAAGTTGGGCATTAGCTACCTGGGGTTAGTACAGACCCCACAGGTTAAGAACTCAGTTCTGTCTTGGTGCAGTCGCTCACGCCTGTAATCCCAGCACTTTGGGAGGCCAAGATGGGCAGACCCACAAGGTCAGGAGATCAAGACCATCCCGGCTAACAAGGTGAAACCCCATCTCTACTATTAAAAAAAAAAAAATTAGCTGGGCATGGTGGTGGGCACCTGTCGTACCAGCTACTCAGGAGACTGAGGCAGAAGAATGTCGTGAACTTGGTACGCGGAGGTTGTAGTGAGCCAAGATCGTGCCACTGCACTCTAGCATGGGCGACAAAGCAAGACTCTGTCTCAACAAAAGAAAAAGAAAACTCCGTTCCACAAGTAAAAAATAACACTTTTAAACTTGGGTTTTGGTGCATACCCTAAAGCACTGGGTTCTTAAAGTGTGGTCCCTGTGCAAGCAGCAACAGCATCACTTGGGAATATTTAGAAATGCAAATTCTCAGACCCACCTCTAGAATTGGAAACTCTGGTGATGGGACCCAGCAAGCTGTACTTTAATAAACCTTCCAGGTGATTCTGATGTAAGTTGAAATTTGAGAACTATGTCCCCGGAGTTTATAGACAAAGAACAAATGAAAGGAATGAAAGAGGGAACAGCCTACAGATTCTATTGTGTGAGTTAATAGTTCCAAGAAAGAAAGTGAAACAATGATATAAAACATAGAGAAAGATTATTAAAATATATGTATAGTTAGGAGGCCAGGTGCAGTGGCTCACACCTGTAATCCCAGCACTTTGGGAGGCCTAAGCAGGCAGATCACTGGAAGTCAGGAGTTTGAGAACAGCCTGTCCAACGTATTTGTATTTCCACTAAAAGTATAAAAATTAGCTTGGCATGGTGGTATGCCTGTAGTCCTAGCTACTCACAGGCTGAGGCAGGAGAATTGCTTGAACCTGGGAGACAGAGGTTGCAGTGAACCGAGATTGTGCCACTGCACACCAGAGTGAGACTCTGTCTCAAAAAAAAAAAAAAAAAAAGGAAATGAATTATAAATACAACCAGGGCTCCAAAGGTAGGCACTTGTCTTCTTAGCAACCCATTGCAGAGGAACTCAGAGGCAAGGCTCACAAAAAATGATAATAATAAAATAAATAAATCAGAAATCAAAACTCAGAGAAATTCAAAGGATACACTGTGCCCACGTTTTCCATCCTAATACAGGATAACCAGGTACAGAAATCTCTGGTACTTCAGAGAATTCTGACAATGGTGAGTGTAAGCATACAGCTCTGCCATCTGCTGATTTTCACTGCGATGTATCTGGATTATGTTCTTCAGACCCTTCCTCTAGCCCTAGGATGAATTTGTAAGATGCTTGAGGAGCAAGGCAAACATTATTTGGGTGCCATTGTCCTCTGCTGGCCCTTGGCTACTAGGCCCAGTCCGGCGTGCACCTGAGCCTCATTTTCCATCACCTTGTGAAAATGTTCACATTTCTATTTCCTTCGGTTGGCACCCATCAGGGAGTGGAGCTCCTTGGAATAAATACTGACTAGTTGGGGCATCTGAGAAGAATGTAGTTTTGGAGCTGGAGTTCACAGGATGTCAAGGCAAAAGTGACAGAAGACTCAAGAGCAGGCAGAGTTCTTGAGTCTAATCTCAACTTTTTACTTTTCAGATGAGGAAATGTAACAATGAAGAAATTAAATGACAGAAACGAGATCATACACTAACAGAATACAGTTCATATTTCAGGCCTTAATTAACTCAGTTAATATTGATTAAGCATCTGTTAAGTGCTAGACACTAGGTGAACAATGATCAAGAAAATAGTCTTTGCTCTTCAAACTCTTGCCACATGTCGGACAGGTTAGATAAGAAAAGAAGCAATTGTATGTAATTTGATTATTTTTAAGATAAAAAAAAAAAAAGCCTATGGTGCTATGTAAGCATGTGAGTGGGTCACCAAAGTCAACCTTGGAGGGTGTTAGCTATTGTGGATCAGTGACGATCCAGGGCTTTTTTTTCATCCTTTCTCTTTTTGGATGTGAGTTATTTTGCCATTACCCTACGCTTACCTCACCTTTGTATATTGGGTGTGTAGGGGACAGATAACTAAAGAAAACTTTTTGGTTTGTATGTCTTCAGATTCAGTCAAACTGCGTTTGTGGAACTGCATTGTGGAATTTCACCCGAGGAGCCCCATCTGTATGAGGGGCTGATTCAGCAGAGAGATTGTGGACTTCAAGCCAATGCCATAACATGATGAGATTTTGAGGCTCTTGGAAAGAGGGTGAGTATATTTTGCACATGGGGAGAATGTGATTACAGCGGCCAGTGGAAGGGCAGACTATGGTTATTAATTTGCAAAATGGTAACTACCAAGTCCTTCTCTATTGGTATGTGCATACAGATCATTACCTGAAGAAATGGGATCTAATTCCTGTCAGATCCCGGGGTCCGGGTCCAGCCCATGCTGAAGTCTGAGGGGAGTGGAGTGGGTGGATGATCGGAAAGAACACTTGAGAGCAGAGCAGGGTGGCGGGTGTTGTAGGCAGGTGAAAGATAGCTCTCTTATGAGCAACTTCTTACACTGTCCAGCTTTATCTTGGCTATTTGCTCTGGCTCTGAGGCTCCTGCTGCCCACATGCCTGAAGTTGCATGGCTGGCTCTCCCCTGCCTTCAGGGTCAGCAGCTTAACTCTTTCTCTGGGCACTAGGAAGCCAAGCTGTGTCCTGGGTCCCTCCTCTTTGGCTCTCTTTGACTCTCTCTCTCTGGGTGCCAGCACCTGCCGGAAGAGCCACGTTGAGCCGAGCTGAGCCCCAAGAGCCATGTCTCTTGTGCACAGTGTCAACAGGGCAATTATACCTTTTACAGACCATAGTGGCTCAGAGCCAAGTATGAACTTACACAAACAGGTTATATAACAAATGAAGGTGTGCATCTGCATGTCAAACTCACTGAGTCATGCAGACCTGAATATCCGCCTCAGTCTCTTCCTTGACCAAAGCACATCCAGGTAGCTTATAATTCCCCTTCCATTAAATCTAGATTATCCTGAGTAACCTGCTTGGGTAATAAAATACAGCAGAAGTAACATTCAGGGACTTCCAAAGTTAGTTTATAAGAAACATTATTGCTTCCATTCGGACCTCTGGGAACACTCCTGTTTGAGAAGCTCCCTCTTGGAACCCAGTCATAATGCTTCAAGAACCTAAGCCACACAAAGTGGCCATAGTTGACAGTTCTAGCTGACTCTCCTGCCTACAGCCAGCAGCTGCCAGCCATCTTGGAAATCCAGCCTAAGTGAGTCTTCAGATGACTGCAGCTCCAGCCAGCACCTAACTGCAGTAGCATAAGAGACCCCAAAAGAAAACTGCCCAGCTGTGCCCACTCATCCTGCAGAGGCAGGAAAGACAATAATAACACATTTTAAGCCTTCAAGTTTTGGGATGGATTGTTATGTAGCAACAGGTACCTGAAACACCATCTTATATGTAAGAAAGCAGAAGACTAAAGACATTAAATAATCTGCCAAAAGTCATAGAGTAAGTCATAGAACCCAAATTTGAAGATTTTAAGTCATATTTTATTTCATTGCAGATTATTCTCTTACTGACTATATTTTATTTCTTTCCACTGTCAACATTTCTGGCAGTTGCCATGTGACCTTGATCAAGCCTGATTCTTCATATGTGAAATGAGGCTAATAAGTATACTTAGCCTAAATTTTTTGTGCATAAATGTGTGAGGTTAAATAACGTGCCATGTTTTATACAACCAGCAAATGGTAGAGCCAGAATTTTAACATAAGGCATCCTAATTCTTAAATTTAAGTTAACTGTTATACAGTATTGCCCCCTAATAGCTATAGAATAAATCCCTAGTGCACCATCACTCTTTCAATTGTATTTTCATAAACTTCAACTCAGTGTAGTGAAATTCAGAGGAAACAGAAATTCCTCTAGTTGTGGTTTGGAAGTGCTTAAACCATCCATGAAGAGAAGACCAAGATAGGGGATCTCTTTAGTCACTCTCTGTTTCAATAACAGTTGTTGAAATATAATATAGATGCGGTAAGATTAACTCTTTCTAAGTATACAATTCAACGTTTTATTTCACAGAAGTGTGAAACCATTACCACTATTTAACTACAGAACTTTCATCCTTCTCCAAAGAAACTTTGAACCAATTAGTTACCAACCCCCATTCTCCTCTATCCCCTTAGTCCCTTTTTTCAAATAAAAAAAAAAAAATACATTTTCTCTTCTCTTTAAAAATATTAATAGATATTTAAGAGCTATTAAAATGTAAGTATCTTGAATACATGGGTTGAATGTCATTTAATTATGACTGTTTGCTGTAGTTAGCACATAGCAATGTCATTCAAAACACATTTGCTGCATGCAAATATGTGTCCTGTGCCTGACTGATCTTTCTTACTATGGCTAAAAATAAAGTAATAAAACAGAATAATAATATAAGTAGCATAATAATAGAATTATTTATAATTCAGAATGAAAGTATCTGTTGAAACCCTAATTGGAAAAGAGGTTTTTCTAGTTAAGTACGTACAGAGGACGAGTTGCACCATTACTGTACATCCCCTTCCATGCAATATGCATTAATAGCTACCGTAGAGATATAAATTTTTGATCCTTCATGAATGAAGTATGTTGAGGTGTTGGAGTTGGGAACTACAAAGGAGACGTATTTCCCTGTACTATGGCTAGCACAGACATTCTCATGAACTACATTGTGTCACTCCTAATTCATATGTTGAATCCCTACCCCTCAGTGTGACTGCTTTTGGAGATATGACCTTTAAAGAGATAATTAAGGTTAAGTGTAGTTATAAGGGTAGGGTCCTAATTCAATTTAGCTGTTGTCCCTATAAGAAGAAGAGACACGAAAGATGTGAGTACATAGAATAAAAGCCATGAGAGGTCATAGGCCAGCAGACAGTGACATGCAAGCCAAAAAGAGAAACTTCAAAGAAAAAAGAAAGAAAAAAAGAAATTCAACAGATAAATTACATAACTGCCAACAACTTGATTTTGGAATTTTTTCACTGTGGGGAAAAGTATGTTATTTAGGCCACAAAGTCTGTCATATTCAGTTACAGCAGCCTGAGCAAACTAATACAGGCAACCTGAGGGCATATCAGAGGAATATAGCATTGTTGCTGTCTTCAGAGACATTCTAGAGAGCCATATTTCCCAAACTATGTGAGCCATTATGGCTTCCAATATGGCTAGAAATATTCAGGGTGCAACCTCATTCCTTAGCCTTCAGATAAAATTTGAGTTAATCCTTCTGTTTCTCACTGGAAAGATCATAGGTTTTCATCTCTGAGGCTCTGTTATTTTACAGGAGTTAAGAAGAATATTGCAAGGGTTGTTAATTCTTTAAACTATGCTTTTAATTATGAAATAGCTATAGAGAATTTCTGATTCCAAAATGGCAGTGTAGAAGCAAGCTGGCCTCACTCCCCCACATGGAAAACAGAAAAGAAATACACAATGCCAAGATTATCACCAGGGATATTCTAGAACTCACATATGAGGATTAGTCAGTTCCTGGAGCTGCAGAGAAGTGAAAATATTCTGAACAAATGGTAAGAGAATCAGACTTCATATCTAGGATGTATCTCCTTCCAATCTGTCCAGCACCAAGCAAATAGAGAACTGACACCTGACTCATGATTTCTACACTGGAAAATGTGAGATTGAGATGGAGAATGAGCTTGCTCACTATCTTGGGTTACAAGGCGGCAGAAGACCTGTCTCTGCCTCAGTTCCATAGGAAGCATCACAAAGGGAGACATATTCCTGAAGACAATCAGAGGCCAAGAGGAAAGGTGGGACTATCATTCCAAGATCTAGAAATTACTATGTAACTTGGCTGAAAGAGACACCAGATCAGAGTGTTGGTTCAGCAGAACAATGTAAGACGTATATCCTACGGGTCCTATGAGTACAGTCCCCTAGCCGGCCTTCCCACACTGATGGACTGTTCTCTTTGTAACCACCTTCATTCAGGACAGGCAGCAACAGAGGCAAACCTGGGCTTAGATGCCGTCTGGTGCCAAAAAAAAAAAAAGCAGTTCCCTAGTAGGGGAGAAAAAAATTCAACAGGTAAATTACAAAGAATCTCTAAGCAAACATAATCAGTAAAAAACCAAGCCACAGAGAGAAGACTGGAGTAAATAACTAATTATTTCATACATATACGTAGATGTATATCCACAAGAAACAACAGTAGGGAACCATGGCCTCCCCAAATGGACAAAACTAGGAACCAGTGACTGACTCTAATGAGACAATGATATGTGAGCTCCTGTACAAGAATTCAAAATAACAGTTTTAAGGAACAAAGTGATATCCATGATAACACAGAAAAGCAATTCAAAAATTTACCAAAGATATTTAACAAATAAATTGAAATCATGAAAAAGAAATTTTGAGACTGATAAATATATTTGCTGAACTGAAAAATTTATTGGTGTCTCTCATCAGCTAGTTGAATCAAACAGAGGAAAAAAAGTGAGCTTGAAAACAGATTATTCGAAAATACCATCAAAGAGAAAAAAGAAAAAAATGAAAAAGAACAAAGACCACCTAAAAAACAGAAAATTACCTCAAAAGACAAAATCTAAAAATTATTGGCATTTAAGAGACAGATGAGGAAGAAAAGGGGTAGAAAACTTATTAAAAGAAATAATGAAAACCTTTCAAAACGTGAGTATGATATGAATACCCAGGTACAGGAAAGTCAGAGAATACCAAACATATCTGATCCAAATAAGACTACCACAAAGCATATAATAATCAAACTCTCGAAGGTCAAACAAAGAGAAGATTCTAAGAACGCAGCAAGAGAAAAGAACTACATAACATAAAAATGAGCTCCAATTCATCTGGCAATAGACATCTCAAGGGAAACCATACAGTCCAGGAGAAAGTAGGATGATATTTTCAAAGTACTGAAAGAAAAAAAAACTACCATTCAAGAATTCTGTATCCAGCAAAGCTATTTAAAATAAAAAGGACAGATAAAGTCTTTTCCAGACAAAGAAATGCTGAGTGAATTCACCACCACCAGACGTGTCTTACAAGAAATGATAAAGGTATTTTTTCAATCTGAGAGAGAACAAAAATTAATACACAAAAAGAATACCTTTGAAGGTATAAAACTGGTAAAATTAAGTAAAAGATAATGTTGAGAATAATCTAATACTGTAATTGTGGTAGGCAAGGCACTCATGACTCTAATATAAAGCCTAAAAGATGA